AATGTGCAAGAACTGAAGAACATGGCATGTGATGTGCTTATGTATACTTTGATTGTGACTTCTTATTCTTATTAATTATTATTATTAATTGCCCACAGTGAGAACAAGCCTTGATAAGTTGAGGTCTTTGGTTGGAGCTTATAGCTCATAAAATTTAATTTCTTGTTCAAGAAAGTGCTTCTAAACATTCTGTTCAACTGCACCTTCTCCAGTGTCTCCAGAGTTCAACCAAAGTCTCCCTTCTTTATGTATTTTACACCTTATAGAAACTCATAGCATGACAAACACATTTCATTGCAAAAAAACAAAAACAAAACCTCTTTATGCTGAAAATGATACTAAATGTCTTGGGGAGAACACAAACTTTAATTCAGAAAATGGGAATTAATTATTTTTCCATAATTTTTAAGAACTTGATAACACGTAATGTTTTGCAAACTGTTGTGTTTATTTAGGCATTTTAATCTTCCTTTTCGTATTTTTCAATTTCAAATTCAGCATCAATTGTTCATTCTCAGAACTCTTTTACTATGGAGAGGTTAAGATATGGAATCTCCGTGTTCAGTAAATGATCATTTTCTCATTTTCAACAACTGGATTAGAAGGCCAATTTCCTTTTTTCTGCTTGTGTGTGTGTGTGTGTGTGTGTGTGTGTGTGTGTGTGTGTGTGTGTGTGTTTGTCTGTGTGTGTGTAAATAATGAATCATATTGATCTTTTCTGTACCAAAGAGTATTTTGATCTCTACCACAATTTCCTTGGAAAGTAGATGTAGAGGAAAATCCTTATTGTTCATTGGATTTTAGCAGGTCAAAATTCTCCAGTATGTGGAAATGGGAAGTACCTAAAAGCCAAACACTATTTTTTAAGAATTGCATCAAATTTGAAGTATCCAGGAAACCCTAAAAGATGAATTGCTTATGAATGGACTTCACTTCCTAACCCCGGTCTTTTCTCTAGACGGATCCAATTTGGAGATGAAACTGGTGAACAACAGGGCCCAGCGATGTCTAGGAAGGGTAGAGGTGAAGTTCCAGGGAAAGTGGGGAACAGTGTGTGACGACAACTTCAGCAAAGACCATGCCTCTGTGATCTGCAAACAGCTCGGATGTGGAAGTGCCATTAGTTTCTCTGGCTCAGATAAATTTGGAGCTGGTTTTGGACCAATCTGGCTTGACGATCTGGCGTGCAGTGGGAATGAGTCGGCTCTCTGGGACTGCAAACATGGAGCGTGGGGAAAGCATAACTGTGACCATGCTGAGGATGTTGGAGTGATCTGCTTAGGTAAGGACAACTCCAGCCTTTCTGTTCTCTGTGACAGACAGAAGGAAAAGGTACTGGGATTGTGAGCCCGAGTCCTTGAGAACATAATAAAGTCCAGTCAGCCTCCATAACCTCATGACTGTCTCATTTGGGGTCCCAGCTCTAACACTGGTGGGTTCAGTAACTGAAATCAGAAAACGGAAGTAATTGTAGGGGGCCAGAGAGGCGCTGAAGAGATGGCTTGGTGATTAAGAGAGTCCTTACTGCTCCTGCAATGAACTGGGGTACAGTTCTCAGCATCCATATGGTGACTCACAACTGCCTGTCACTCTAGTCCACAAGGTACGGTCCCTTTCCCTGGTCTCCAAGGGTACTGCACACACATGGTGCATATACATATGTCCAGGCATACACATATACATCTAAAAATTTCAAAATAAATAAACAAGCAATTAAAATAGTTACAGGAAAATAATAAATAATGAAATTTAGTCTCATTATAAGGAGAGTGTTTAGGAAAATCTTGATGGGGTTGAAGACAAGGTGAAAGAGGACAGGGGTCTAAGGAGCCAGCAGTGGATTTTGTGAATCTTTGTACATGGGAATATTATATGCTGAGCACATTTTCCCTCATAATCTCTTATCTTTTCCTTGTCTTTCTCCCTCCTGTTAGTACTCTGTCCTTTTAGACTGTTTAGTTCTACTTTCTTGTCATTTATAGATAAGTAGGTAGAAGATAGGTAGATGATAGATAGATAGATAGATAGATAGATAGATAGATAGATAGATAGATAGATAGATAGATAATAGATAGACAGATAGATGATAGATAAATAATAGATAGATAGATAGATAGATAGATAGATAGATAGATAGATAGATAGATAGATAGATAGATAGATAACAGATGATAGCTAGATGGTAGAGAGAGAAATAATATAAATATAGAAATATCACAAATACATCATTTTATACATCTATGTAAAAATCTATGAACCACAACTGAAATAACATTCACTATTTGTCTTTCTAGATTGGTTTAAAACAAACCACCCTCCTCCTCATCTTCTGTCATCAACTTTTTAGCCACCTTTCAATCTGCTCCTTCCCAAACCATTAGCTCAAATCCATAGAATTCAATAATAAAAACATAAGTGCCAATACATCAATACCTCACAAAGGCTTGGGCTATCTCAAGTAAGTACAGCCTCTGCCTGGTGATGGTAATACTCCACATAGAGACCCAGGCTGTCGGCTGTGTTTACCATAGGATAGTCTTTAGAATTAAGGATGGTTCTTTAAGGGGTATTGATTGTTGGAAATGAGAGGAGCAGCTCAGGCCCTTCCCACTCCACTCTGCACTTAAACTTAGAAATATCCGATTAGTTACTTTTCTACTGCTGTGGTGAAACATCATGATCAAGGCAACTTAGAGAAGGGATGGTTTATTTGGGCTTAAGGGTCCAGAGGGCTAGGAGTCTGTCACCATCACAGTGGGGAAACATGACAAGGGGCGGACCTGGAGGCTGGAACAGCAAGCTCAGCACTCATACCTTAAAATGCAAGCATAAAGCAGAGGGAGACTGCAGAGTGTGTTGCTTTCAAAACCCCAAAACCTTCCCCCAGTGGTGCACTTCCTCCAGAAAGGCCACACCTCCTAAGCCTCCCAAACAGTGCCACTGACTTGGGACCAAGTGCTCAAACATCTGAGCTGGGGGGAAACAGTCTCATTCAGACCTCCACAGGTACTCACAAAATAGCCAGGTGCACAGCACAAGCAGGCTAATGTAGATGTAGACAGACCGTGTGGATAACAGTGAAAGCAGATGCCGAATATTTATACAAACTGGAGTACAACGTGAAAAACCTGAACACAGGCAGATGTATTTTAACAAGACAGAGTAAACAATTCTACCATCAGGTGTGGTGACCAAATGGGTAAAAACTGCCTCGGAACAGATCTCTGAGACGCTTCCTGAAGTAAGTACTGTGTGCTAAAGTCCTTACCCCATCCATGCACTTCTTCTATCTGCAGTGACTCACAATGGTGCTATGGAGTGGCTGCCTCTGTCCATGTCTCTGCCCCTTTCTCTAACTCAGCTAGAGCTCTTTCTAGTCACATTACCCTTACCTCCCTTCCACTAACTTGTTGTCTGTTGTTATTGTAGAGGGAGCAGACCTGAGCCTGAGAGTGACAGACGGAGTGTCCAAATGCTCAGGAAGATTGGAAGTGAAATTCCAAGGAGAATGGGGGACCGTGTGTGATGATGATTGGGATAGTCAAGATGCTTCTGTGGTGTGTAAGCAACTGGGATGTCCAACTGCTATCACTGCCATTGGTCGAGTTAATGCCAGTGAAGGATCTGGACCTATTTGGCTTGACGATATTTTCTGCAATGGAGATGAATCAGCTCTTTGGGAGTGTAGACATCGGGAATGGGGGAAGCACAACTGTCATCACAGAGAAGATACTGGTGTGACGTGCTCTGGTGAGTTAGAACAAAAAGCAAATCAAAGAGTGAAGAGCCTGCATTCATTAGAAATAGGAATAAGTGTGAGTTGTGAGTAATGGACATAATTAATTCAGTGTTGGGAATTGCTCCACAGCTGTGAAGACTCTGACACATTCTTCATAGGAGGGATACTTGCCTCGATTCTCTGTATTACTATGAGTAATTAATACACATAGAACCACATCTTAAATTCTAAATCTATGTGGAGCACAAAGAGTGAGCATTTTAAAGGACTATGATGAGCAGCAGGTGTGTGTGTGTGTGTGTGTGTGTGTTTAGCATTTTTAGTCTTTAGAACAATGTACCATTTATAATAGAATTCACAGTTTACATTTGTTTATTAAAACCTCGAGAAATAGGTAAGCCAAAATTGAGTATGGCAGTACACACCTATAATCCTAACCACTCAGGAGAGAGGCTAGGACAGAGGATGGCAAATTCAAACACCTTTCAGGCAACTTAATGAGACTCCATCTCAAAACTTAAACCAAAAGTATAAAATGGCATCAGGCATACAGTCCTCATCTAGTTTATGTAAGGACCAAAGTTTAATCCTCAGTAATGCCAAGAAATAAACAAGCAAACAATAGGAGGTAGGTAAGCCATAGTTTCTAGTGTCTTGGTATCTGGGAAGGAGAGGATGGTGTTTCAGGACATAGTGTCTCCCCAGGTTCCTTCAGCCTGTGCTCATATTTCTTCTGCAGATGGGTCAGATCTGGAACTGAGACTTGTAGGTGGAGGCGGTCGCTGTGCTGGGATTGTGGAGGTAGAGATTCAGAAGCTGGTAGGAAAGATGTGTAGCCGATCCTGGACCCTGAAAGAGGCTAATGTGGTCTGTAGACAGCTTGGATGTGGATCTGCACTCCAGACACAGTCTATAATCTACTCCAAAAGTAAGGCGACAGATACGTTTCTCTCCCCTGGCACTTGTAGTGGAAATGAAACCTCTCTTTGGCAATGCAAAAACTGGCAGTGGGGCGCCCTTTCCTGCGACCACTCAAAAGAAGCCCAAGTTACCTGTTCAGGTAAGACTTTCAATTCCTCTGTTAAGAAGCAGCTTAATTCCAAGGATGCTACAGCTATCGTGTCCATGACTTACTTTGTTTGTTTGTTTTGCGTTTGTTTTTTCAAGACAAGGTTTCTGTGTGTAGTCCTGGCTGTCCTGGAACTAGCTCTACAGATCAGGTTGGCCTCAAACTTCCAGAGATCCACCAGCGTTTGCCTCCCATGTGCTGGGATTAAAGGCATGAGTTATGGCTTACTTTTTATGCTTTTTTTCAACTTTATGAATCAAGATGTGCAGGTGCATTGCTTGTACTAATCACAGAATTGGGATTTATTTTAAAAATAAACATGACTGCACTATTTTTCTGAAAGAAATAATGTATTTGACACACACTGTTACGTGTCTGTATTATGCATATGGGATGTACTGACAGACTATGAATTATCCTTCAACTGAAAATGTAGTGGGGGGGGGGTTGAGGGGAAGGCTTAGTAGGTAAAGTACTTACCACACTCATAAGGACCCGAGTTCAGATTGACAGCACACATAAAAAGCTAGATGCCACAGTGCACACTTGTAACCTCAGCACTTGAGGCTCATAGCAAACTCTTCTCAAAGTAAGCCAGAGAAGGCTCCCCAAACTTGACAGGCTTCTAGTCTAGCTGCCTCAATCTGTTGTCAAAAGGTACATTTACAAACGCTCACGGGCCCTGACGCAGCCTCTGCCTGCCTCTCCATTGTTGCTCTCTGAGTTAAGGCTGAATGAAACCTTGAGGCCGATGAAAGCAGAAGATTGGAGGGCCGCTTTGCGGGCAGGCTTGCTGCTTCTGTTCTGGAGGACCAATTTCATATTACACTTTGGCTGCATTTTATGACCACCTCAGCTGGGGGACAAGACACTCAGGTGTTTCAAATGGCAGTTATTTATCCTTCTTTGTGTATATTTACCATATACTTTGTTACTGCACAAAAGGAGGAAGTCCTAACTAGTTCTTACACTTGTTCTTCATTTTTTTTT